ATATTTTGCAACAACAACAACGTTGGGTTTTAATTGGACTTTTATCGACTCGTTTGAACGTGTTGTAAAATTTGCGAGGAGAAATTTACGACTCGGTCTCGGAGACGCGGAGAATTACTTGTAAAACACAGCGCGCTCGTAACACTCTCATCAATGCTGCAAATAATTTCCCTCACGTACCGGGCGCGAGGGCGAGACGATAATTCACGGAATTAAACCGCCCTCCCCCCTTCCATCCATTCCCGAAGGAGGTGGATCCGCGTCTATTTAAATTCCTCGTCGTCGTCTTTGCATCTGGCAAGTTTTAGCACGTTCAAGGGCGAGAACGGGGACTTCCGTTTCCATAATGAGAGACGCCCGGGTCTTTCTCTTTTTCGCTCACACGCAGGGGAGGGGAAATGGGGCTTCCCGAACTTTTTTTCATATCTTTAGCTTTGAGTTTTCCGGATTTCCGGAAAACTCGGCGTCACCTCAGAAACAGGTGTTCGTTTTGCCGAGGCGAGGTCCTCCTGTTGTCGTCACACCTATCCGCGCGCGTCTCCAAACTAAACTTCGTCCGGTGTTCAACCCCTCAAACAAACGAGCAAACCCTCCCGGACTTGTCGGAAGTTGAACACTCGCGCCCCCCGTTATTCCCTATATTACTTTCGCGTAACTTCGATTGCATTCTTCTTACCCTTGGGCGCGAGACCGACGACATTCGCGCATTCCGCGGAGTTCGTTCCTCCGCGCGAGCCGATTTCATCATCATCGAGATCCCTCTTCTCGAGAGAGAGAGAGAGAGAGAGATTCGCCGCGTATCTCTAAATACCGCGCGCAGGTTTTTTTTTTTTTGTTCCCCAGTGTTTTGCGCGCACCCGCCTCGCCGCAAACGAGCTAAACTCAGCTGCGACAACGAGATGCACCACCTGCGCACCACCGGCAATTACTGACAATTGCTCGTTAGAGCGGAATGCTATTGCCCTCTCCGCAACACAATGCGCCATCTTTTTCACGCGGATTATTGCGTCCAATTTTTACACAAGTTTCCGTTTACGTAATAAAAAATTTTTTACGAAGAAAACACTTATTTGTAAAAAAAAAAAGAACTGTCTATTTTAATTATTTTATAAGAACAGGAAAATTATCACGGCCCTTAGAAGCAAAAAACACTGATGATAATGTGTGTGTGATAGCAGCATTACTTTATTCAAGCAACGTAATATATAAAACGTTTTCGGCCTTAGATTAGGCCTTTATCAATATATATATACACCGAAAAAATTAAATTCTCGTAAGTAGAAGATTTTATACTTAAAAAATCTTCTTAAAGATTTTAGATGATATTCTTCTGAAATTAAGAATATATTCTTAATATTAATTATAATATAGAATAATATAGAAATTATAATATAGAATGTTGTATATATAATATAGATTCTATATATAATATAGAATATATTCTATATTATATTCTTAATTTAATTTATTTTCTTTATTTAAGAATATATTCTTAATTTAAGAATATAGTCTTTTTCGATAGTGAGATATATATGTTTTTCTATAGAGGCTTTTTATATTCTAATCAGTATATAGGTATTCTTATCAATATTACTTATTTAGAGAATTTTGCTCTTAAAATAAGAAACTCTTCTTGGCGTCTATTTTAGTATAAAATATACTTAAAGTAAGTGGGATATCCTCAAAATAAGAATACAATTTTTTCGGTGTATAGTAATGTTGTTCTTGAATTAAAAACTTAATCGAGTCACATGATTTACAATTTGGACATATAAAAGTAAATGAGGACATATAAAAGTAATGATTCCTCATTTACTTTTATATGTCCAAATTGTAATCATGTGACTCGATTAAGTTTTTAATTCAAGAACAACATTACTATATATATATATTGACAAAGGCCTAATCTAAGGCCGAAAACGCGTTTTATATATTACGTTGCTTGAATAAAGTAATGCCGCTATCACACACACATTATCATCAGTGTTTTTTGCTTCAAAGGGCCATGATAATTTTCCTGTTCTTATGATAATTTTTTTGAAGCGTTTTCTATACTCCTCTTTAATTATTTTTAAATAGAAAAAATTTTATAAATTCAAAAAACCTCTTCAAAAATTTACTTCCCAATTTAACGGTCTTTCTGATTAACTTTCTGCGTCGTCCATTTCTCTGTGTGCGTGCAAGAGATGAAGTTACCAAATTTACCGAGAGCCATGCGCTTGTTAGACGCGGCGGCTCCTTAAAACCGTTCGCGGCGACGTCCTCCTCGACGTCGTACCTACCTGTCGATCCTAATCACCAACGTTTCATGTTTTCCCGTTACACGGGTTCTATCGCGGGAGAGAAACGTCTGAAGAGCGTTTCGAGCTTTCTCTCGAAAACGTGGAGAGACGACTGCGTCTTCTCCATCCGGGAAAAATCCTCTTCTCTGTCTCTCTCTCCCCGAGAGTGGAGTGGTTCTCGTTCCGGGGCGCAAAACGGTTCCTTCTCGTTTCCTCTATTCGCTTTCGCGAATGTGAAGATCGCAAGAAAATCAGCAGGACTCCACCTTTGCATGCCGCGCGCGCGTAAACTTGTTTCGCGCGAAAGAGGCTTTCGTTTTTTTTTTTTTTTCCGCACACACACGCGCGCGATGGAAAATATTTACGACGCCTTTCCGCGCGGCATCCGATATCTTCTCGCGGCATTTTCTCCGCGGGAAGATTTTCTTCTCGCTTTTGCGGGAAAAAAATCTCGCGCGTACGTCCCACAGCGTCGCTGTGTTTGAAAATCAAATTAAACGCCCGCGATGAAACGCGAGTGTTTATATTCGCGCACATTTTCTTCTCGAACATTTTCGACAACTTCGGCGGCGACGCAATTTCGGCCGAAATGCGCGAATTAACAGCGTTGTGTCGCAGCGCGAGTCACGCGGATTTATTGCGTATTACACGTCAGATAGTTCGAAGAGTCGCGCTTCCACACGGAAGCCACACCGTTGTCGTCGTCGTCGTCGTCTTTCAAGTGGCGAAAGACGCCGCGCGACGTTTATCGACCGGAAACTAACCGACGACAGTCAAAGTCGAGTGTCAGTCGATCGGGTTCGTCGCTCTTCAGCATCACCTCGTCGAAGAAAGATTCGCCTCTGTCTCGATTCTCTTCCATTCGCGCGCGATTTGAAACGCGTCAAAAGTCGACGTGTTAAAATTAATTAAAATTTTTTTTTTTTTTCATTTTTGCACTCGCCTTTGAATTTAATTTTTAACGAAAGAGAGAAGCCGTCACGCTGCGATCGGGATGAAGCGACGGAAAATCAGAGTTTCGACCCAAATTTATTTTGCCATTATTCGTCTTCCAAAAAAGTTTTTCCACCTTTCACCCTCATCCCCTAATGTGTCCCGGCGGCGTTTTGCGGCGTTCGGTCGCGCGCGCGGTTTGTCCAAATTTATTTACGCTCTCTCTCTCTCTTTCGGCAACTCGCCGAACAACTTCGAAAATATGCCGCGAAAGAGGGTTAATAGGATGAAAAAACTTTTTATTCCTCTCTCCTCGCGCGAGATCTCTCCTTCCCCGATAACTCGCATTGTGTGTCGTGCAAAGTTTCGACGAACGAAAACGCCGCTCGGAAAATTAATCGCGAAACGTGTTTTTTTTTTTTTTTTTTTTGTTCGCGTTCAACAGGCTCTTTTGTCGCAACAAAAACGTCGATACGCTGCCGTTAATTCGCCGCGAATTTGACTCTGAAATTTAACAGAGAGAGAGAGAGAGAATCATTTAATAACGCGCGAGCTAAAATAAATTCGTACCGAATGTAATTTCCCGCGCGCGAATTTTCATTAATTCCACGGATTTTCCGCGCACCGCCCATTAAGCCGGAAAAATGCGTCGAGTGTATTGGAAACGCACATATTTTACGTTTGTTTTACACACAGTATTTGCTTTTGAATTTGATCGGAAGAGATGTTGTAGGTCGCGCGCGTTTTTTAATTTAATCTCAAACATACATTCAAATACACTTTCGCCTTTTATTTCTTTTTACCCCCGTCCAGGGTTTCCCCGGGAAACTCGTCCAAAAGGAGCGTCGTGGGTTCGGATCGGCGAAATAACGTCGGCGGTCGGCAGCAGTGGATGGTCACCGTGGAGGATAGCATGAGGCACGGAAATGCCGTAACTACGCAGACCACTCTCGTGAGTATATATATTTTCCTTCCACGACGTGTACTCTCTGGATCGTCGCCGATAATTTCGGCTTTTAGTTACGACGCGACGTTATACGCCGCGAGAATCGGGCCCGCCAAGCTCGTAATCTCGCGACTTTCTTAGCAAGGCTCGTCGTAACGACGTCGGTTTACGACGCCCGACCGCGCGCAAAATCGAAATCTCCCTTAGGCGGCGCGAGATAAGTCGGGAGAGATTCCGCGAGAATTCTGCGAGAATTCCGCGATGCGCATTTTTTATTATTTTTTTTTTTTTTTTTGGAATACAATAAACAAAGATGTTGCGGGAGAATTGTGTGTTTTACGTACGAGGGGACGTTTCTCCGAGATGCGCCGCTTGTCTTCCGTGTTCCTCGAAATTGAAATGCGGAAATACATATATCGATGTATTATATTTTGACATTTTGAACATACCAGAGCGCAACACAGGCGCGCGCTACGCGCACGCTATTGTTATTTTTATTTTAACGCGTTGTGTCAGCAAAACACAATCTGTCATCGCGATGACAGCTGGTGTATACGTCTTACAAACCATATAATACACATATGAGAGATGTCGGAAATAACGCGTGAAAATCAAACTCGAAAAATAGCGAGAGAGAGAGAGAAATGGAAAAACAATACGTGACTAAAACGCGTCACGTGACTTTACTTTAGTCACGTGTCTTTAAAAACGTGCTGTTTTTCCTCTCCTCCCTGTCACGTGACTTTACTTCAGTCACGGTTTTAAAGACACGTGACTAAAGTGCACTCACTTGACTGTAGAGTCACGTGAGTATTTTTCCTCTCTTCTCTGCGTTACGTGACTTTACTTTAGTCACGGTTTTAAAGACAAAGCGCGTAAACTTGGCGCGAGGTACTACCGTGCCTCTTGATTCGTACACCGAAAAAATTGTATTCTTGTTTTGAGGATATCCCACTTACTTTAAGTATATTTTATACTAAAATAGGCGCCAACAAGAGTTTCTTATTTTAACCCTCGGAGAACACACTGGGTCAATTTGACCCTGTTCGTCGACTTTGATCAAATTATTTTGCTTCAATT